GCAGACATCAAAAGGATAACAGAATAGTACAATAATGACACATGCATAAACTTGACACTTTAGATGAATAGATTTTTTCCACAAAATAGCACAAACTATTAATATCAAAACTCACCCAACATGAAATAATTTAAATAGTCCTATAAGTGTTAAGGAAATTAAGTTCATAATTTAAAAACTCCTACAAAAGAAACCTTCAGTTCCAGACAGCTTCACTGGAGAATTCTTCCAAACATTTAAAAAAGAATCAACACCAATTCTATACAGTTTCTTCTAGAAAATAAGAGGGAACACTTCCTAATTTATTTTAGGAAGCTAATATTACATTGATACCAAACCAAATGAAGTACGTACAAAAAAAGAAAATTACAGACCCAATATTCCTCATGAACTTAAGCTCAAAAAACCTTAGCAAAATATTAGCAAACAGAAATATATAAAAATAATTAGATAGCATGAGTAAATTGTGCTCATTCCAGGGATGCAAGGCTGGTTCAATATTTGAAAATATCAAATATATCAGTTAAAGGATAAAAAGCACTTGGCAAAATTAAACATCCATTCATGATTAAAAAAGAAAAAACTCTCAAAAAAAATAAAAGGGAACTTCCTCTTATGAGGAACATCTGCGTGAAACCTAGAGCTAACATTATGCTAAATGGTGAAAGGCTGAATGCTTTCTCCTGAGACTGGGAACAAAGCAAGGGTGCCCACTCTCACTTCTCTTGTCAACATGATGCTGGAAAGTCTAGCTAGTGCAGTAAAGCAAGAAAAGGAGCTAAAAGACATACAGCTAGGAAAAGAAGAAATGAAATGCTATTTGCTGATGAAATGATCACCTATTTAGAAAATCCCAAAGAATATATCAAAAAAGAAAATCTCTTAGAACTAAAACATGAGCTTAGCACTGCCACAGGATGTCAGGTAAACATATAAAAACCAATCATATTCCTGTATACTAGCAATGACTACAAAGACACCAAAATAAAAAATATAATATCATTTGTAATCACTGAAAAATTTACATATTTAGGTGTAAATCTAACAAAATAGGCACAGAGGTTGTATGCTGAATACTATAAAACACTGATGAGAAAGTCAAAGAAGATCTCAGTAAAATGAAAGACATAGCATATTCATGAATTTACTCTGCAAAATAATGATCTCAGTTTCCCCCAAATTGATATGCTGGTTTAATGCAATTTCTGTCAAAAACCTGAAAGATTTTCTAAAGATATAGACAAGAATAGTCTAAATGTTTTATGGAAAGGTAAAGAAACTAGAATGGCTAAAATACCTTTAAAAAACAATAAATTGAAAGGAATCGGTTACCTGATTTTGAGACTTACATAGCTACAGTCATCAAGACTTTGTGGTATTGGGGAGGCACATGGATTAATAGAACAGAACAAAAAAACTAAAACTTGGTTCACACATTATGTCTAGCTGATTTTGACAAAGATGTACAGGTAATTTAATGGAAAGAATATATATCCTTTTCAGTAAATGTTGATGGAGCGATTGGGCATCCTAACACACACACACACACACACACACACACACACACACACACACACACACACACACACATGCGTGCCCACTCCCTCAACCTAAGGAAAACATTGGGATCTAGGACTAGGCAAGCAATCCTTAGGCTTGACACCAAAAGCCCAACCTTTAAAAGGAAAAAATAATAAAGTGAATTTCATCAAAATTTTTCAAAATTGCTTTGTAAAAGACCCTGATAAGAGAATGAAAAGATGATCTATAGAAGTTGGGGAAAGTATTTGGAAATGAATATTTCAAAATGATAATAGTTAATTTGAGTGGTGGAAATTTGAGTAGGGTTTTTGTTTTTGCTTTTCTTTTCTGAAATTTCTATACTATTATTATGATTCTAAATTTTATTTTAAATTATTCAATGGTACTTGATTCAAGTGAATGTTTTTTAAAAACTTGAGAATTGACTATAGTATGTTCCAAAATTGCTTGCCCAATGAGTTTACAAATACTGATTTAAAATAATACAAACTCTTCCTATCTAGTGTGGGGAGTTCCACATAGATTTTCACCATTTCACGTGGCTATTAAAGTGACTATATTATGGATAAAATATGACTTCTGACAAAATAAAAAGGTAAAAACTGTATGGGTTTAATCATACAGTATGGGCTTGAAATAAATACGTATGAGATAGTATGATTTACATTTTTCAAATATGCTGAGAAAATGTGCCAAATTAGGAAATTCTGATGGAAAAAAAATCACAAATGGAATGCAAAGAGATAGACCTTAGGGACCTGATGCATATAGACAAAATTCAAACATGGAAATAGAAAAGAAAGAAAAAATAATGATAATTACAAATGTATTTAAAATATCAAATTAATTAGAAATTTCTTTGTGTAATTATTTAAGAATATAGTTTTAGAATTTGTTTTTTAAACTACCCTTCCTGTTAGAACACAAAGTACTCTTACCCTTATGAGTCATACTACAAACGTCCTTATTGTTCTTTTGAAATACATCTTGTTTTATACGAGGGTTAAAAAATAGCCCCATTTTCATTCCAGGGTTACAATACCAAGTGGGAGAGTATAGATATTTCATTATTCTGCCATTTATTTAATTGATTGTTGATAGTTTTTTTGTCTAAGCGTATGTTGTTTGTTGCCAAACTTTTACTACGATCCTTCAATTATTTTTATTGGATTGAAAATTTTAGTACTAACTGTCTTTTGTAGTTAACTTATTGATTTCATGTTTTACATTATGTAAGTTTAGATAAATTGTTTAATAAATTGCTTTAGACTATTTTTTGAGTGTCAAATACTATAAGGCATTAAAGGTCCTTTATAAACTCTAAAACACTACATCAATGTAAGTATTACTGTGAAACTGTTGCAGATAACATTGTTTGGATGTTTGAAATGTTTTAGCTACTGTTGTAAGTGCTTTACAAATATTCCTTCACAACCACCAAATGAGGTAGTACCATTGTCCTCTCTATTTTACACATGATGAACGGGGGACAAAGAGGTTACTTAACCCTAGATCACATAGCTAGCAAATACTGGAACTGAGATTTAAACCCAGGCCGTCATTCCTCTAGCAAAGGAAATGCATTACTTGCCCTTTAGAAAGAGGTCATTTCCATCTGTCCTTAGATGTCGAATGGTTTATGGCATGTGTACAAGTTTACCAGTGATATCTTTATTGGCATTTTATAAGATGATTGTTTTAGGACATCAGAGCTGGAGTGTTGTCTAGAGGTTGATCATTCTCTGGCAGAGACACTAAACCTGCCCACAGGTGATGACGATTCTGTTTATCTCTTTAAAGAGAAGGAATTTTCACGCCTTGGTGGGAAGCAGGACTCTGCTGTAAACTGCAGTGTGAATTTAATGGTTTTCTGCTTGTGAGAACTGGAGCATCTGACCAGGACCACTGAAGCCTAGCCTTCTAAATTCCCTCCTATATTCTTCTCCCTCACTTCTTACTTAGGCACTCAGCCTCTCTACCCTGGAGCTATGTAGGGGAGGAAAAATAGTTTTCCTCTAACCTTCTGAGTTCTTGGCTGAGGTCCCTGTAATAAAAGACAGATTAACTAGAGAAAAGCAGACAGAAGTTTGTTAGCATGTATACCTTATATATACATAGGAGATACCCAGGGTAAAAAGAGGAACTCCCCGAAGTGGCTTAGAAGTCGTACTTAAGGAAAGGACAGGGAGTATGCAGGCTTCTTAGGAGAGAGTAAATGATTTTTAGGAAAGATGAATGGTTGGTCCTTAGAAGATGGGAGTTTGTGACAAAATTCATCTGGGTGTGTTCTGTCCTAAACTCCTGACCTTCCAATCTCCTTCTGTTAGGTTGTCAGAAAAGTCATGACATATTTTTCTATGTTTTTCGTTGCAAAAATGTGTTATGACTTTTCCGACAACCCAATAATTTACTCTCCTTTGTTCAGAGTCCATCATCCCTGGATGACGAGTCTCCTGGGGAGGAGATTTGTGACGACTGAATGCCTTTCGGAGGACCTGTCTTTAGGCAGATAAGGGAAGTTCAGAGAAAGCCCCTTCCTGCTTTTGTTGTTTTTCAAGTGTCTACCACTCAAAATAATCAATATACCACAGGATCATATTTTGGGGTGGCATATCTTGAACTCCTATAATCATATTTTGGGGTGGCATGAAGTAAAACTAGTCTGCAAGACTTTGTGGTCCCCCCCCACCCCCCCTCCCCCCAGCAGTACATAGCTGTTTCAGTGTAAAAACCCAGAAAAGCTGTGTTTTTAACATGATGGATGGGGTTGGTAATTTTCAGGGTAGGTGCCTTACAAACAATACAAATTTTAGTCTTTTAATGCATAATCCTTCCATTCAAAATATTAATCAAGTGGCTTCATTTCAAAACAATCAAATGATCAATAGGATATAGGGAATCTATGATTCCTAATCTAAATATTTGCAGAAACAGAGGTCTTAGAGATACTTTTTCTAAAGGCAATATGGAATGTCTTTCCCCAGGGCAATGTGCTGTGTTCCAATAAAAGTGACCAACATTCTAGTTAAGCTGCAACAGAACTTTGAACTACTCGGCATTATTTTATGAATCCAACATATATCAGTTTCCTTGATGGGGATCCACAGAATACTTTTAGAGTTTTATTAGATACCTATTCATGCTATGACTTTTCAGAGATCAACATGATTATGGTCATAATTGTATACCTATGATATCAGATTGGGAGAAAGATCTAAAATGGAAAAAGTTATCGTCATGGATCTTGTACTATTTGCAGATAATTAAAATTATTTGGTGCTACTAATTCTTGATCTTCTTATCTAATAGATATGAAATGCATTTATTATTTAACTGCTATGCCTTTAAGATACCTGTGGACATTTTAGTAGTTTATACCATTAGACTACCAAGTTTAAAATGTCTTTTGGAAATACTCTCATGAACTATATATATCAAATATGTATTTCTTTATGCAGGGATCAACCTATGAGGATGAAATTAATAATATCAAATATGTTATTTCAAAAATTAATGTAATTCTGGCTCATAATTCACCAGTTTTAATTGTTCAAAGATGGATACGTGGTTTCCTAGTAAGAAAGAGTTTGAGGTATGTTTTATTTTCTTTACTATTTGAATAATAAAATAAGATAATAAGAAAATCAATAATAAGAAGGCAATTTCCTATCAAAATGGTATGTTATAGATCACTTGAACTAGTTTTAAGGAAGACGTTACAAACTCTATAGTAATATAATATTTAGCGTAATACAAATTTGATACTTTTAGTTTTTTCTTTTAAATTGACCACATAAATAATCATTCTTTATGGATCAGTTTAATTCTGACAGGTATTTTTATTAAACATAAAAATATAAGTCTAAAACATGCTGAATTTCTCTTATGTAATAGAAATATAAGTTATGGACTATATAACACAATCCAATAGAAATATTAACGGTGAAACATATATATGAAGATTTCATATTTTGTTTGGATGGGAAGATGATTTTGGTAAAACATCTGGTGTCATATTAATCTACTGTTTCTTTTGGTTAATAGTCGTTTCTTCTTTCTTTGTTTCTTATATTCCTTTCCAGTAGCTGACATTTGCAAATAGAGGAAATTTTTTCTTGGTAGAGTCTCTCAACACTGAACTTGAGGAGCTAAGATAGGATACTCTGTAATCAATTTATTTTTATTAGTCATGCCAAACATCAAACATATGAAAAAATAAATATTCCCATATAGCTTATTTTCAGACACTAAATGCTAGAGTTCAGAAGATAGATATGAAATTTGGCCCTGAAATATAGATAGGATTAAAATAGATCTAGAGTTGGGAAATGGACAGTCCCTGAGAAAGCCAGATTAGGAAGTTTCACTGAGATGATTTTCAACATTCTGTGTTAGGCAGAGAGAATGTTCTCTGCATTAGCCTGCATGGGCTAAATTATAGATGGCAGTAGCCTTGATAAAAATGGATAAGTAAGATGGCCAAGGAGCCAAATTGACCATAATACAGTGCCTGCAACCACTGAGGAGGAGGCTCCACATACTTTTAAACTGAGGTCAAAGTGTGAGAGAAAGAGGGCTCACAAGTGGGGACAAGTAAAATTATTTGGAATAAAAAAATGTGGAAAAGGATCAGGCAGTTGCTGACATGTGCATATTATTTAGAATGGTATTTCTGTCTCACCTGTACCTTTAAATTTAGTATGCATTTTATATGAAATAAACAACTAATTAAAGGTACTTGTCTTTAGTTTATGCCCCTAGGATTGCGTTTTTCTCTCTTAGAATCAAGATTTTCTGTGCTATTCATGTAACATGAGATAAAAACCTTGCGGATGGAAACAGTCTCTGAAAATTCAGCGTGTGTGTACAGAATTTGAATGAGCTTTGTGGGAAGAGATGTCAGTAATCATAACATATCATAGTGGTTCAAGACATAATGATTTGAGTTCTTTTTCTCTTTAAAATGCTGTTCCATTCAGCACATTACTTAACTACTCTGAGCCTGAGTTTCCTCATATGTTAAATGGTAGAGAGCAGGGGCTAATAGCAGTACTTATTTCACTGTTTGCTTGTGGGAATTGAGATCGTGAAAATAAAGCACATAACAGCTGGCAAATGTGGGTATTACATTCTCAGTAGGTATTATTATTATTATTATTATTATTTTTTTTTTTTAATTGGGGAATTGGGGGGATGGGAACAGTGCTGGGGAATTGGAGGAAGGGGAACAGACAGGTTGCTGTCATTTTGTTTTCCAGTCTAGTTGTGGAGGACGTTGCTTCACTGGCCCAAGTTGGCACCATCATTGTGCTCTTCCCGGGCAAGGCAGATCAGTTGCCGGCTTCTGGACGGCCGCTCACTGCGGCTGCTGGCCGCTCACGCTGGCTGCTGGCTACATACGGTAGCCCATGGCAACCCATTGCCACAGGGGCTGCAGCCTACGCTGTCGCCGGCGACTTACGGCAGCCCAGCCCCAGGTTGAGCTGTTGTTCAGCATCTTAGCTGTAGAGGGCAGTGTTACTGGCCCTCATATGTGGGATCCAAACCGGGGCCCTCTGGTGTCCCAAGCCAGTTCTTAACCATCGCGCCACTCGGCCGGCCCAGTAGGTATTATTTTTTAAATATCATCTTTGTAGTTGTTGGTATATCTTGTGCTCTCTGCTTTATTTGACTCCATGGGAAACTTTTTCCTTGGATTTCTTGCTCCCTTCCAGTTACATTTACCATAACATGCAAAGAAAAATCTTTCCAAAATATAAATCTAATTGTATTCACCAACTTAAAATTCTCCAGTTGCTCCCAGTTTGCTTAGAGCAAATGACTGGCATATTTTCCTGTACCGTGTGCATCACATACATTTATTATCATAAGCACTTACCATACTGTACTGCAGTTGTCTCCATAATTATATCTCCCAATGTACTGCATATACTGTATCTCTAGCACGTGAAAGAATGCTTGGTACATGCTATGTGCTCAAAAATATTTGCTGGATAGATGAATATATCCGTGGAGACGCTTTGGAAGCTAATATCAAAAAATTATTTTGGGGGCCGGCCGAGTGGCACGATGGTTAAAAGCTGGCTTGGGACGCCAGAGTGCCCTGGTTCGGATCCCACATATGAGGGCCAGTGACACTGCTCTCCACAGCTAAGATGCTGAATAACAGCTCAACCTGGAGCTGGGCTGCCGTGAGTCGCCGGTGACAGCGTAGGCTGCAGCCCCTGTGGCAGTGGGTTGCCATGGGCTACCGTGTGTAGCCAGCAGCCTGAGCAGCGTGAGCGGCCATCCAGAAGCCGGCGACTGATCTGCCTCGCCTGGGAAGAGCGCAATGATGGTGCCAACTTGGGCCAGTGAAGCAACGTCCTCCTTGACTAGAATAAAGAACAAAACGACAGCAACTTGTCTGTTCCCCTTCTCCCAGTTCCCCAGCACTGTTCCCATCCCCCCAATTCCCCAATAAAAATCTTTAAAAAAATTATTTTTGGATTCATCTATGGGAAAGCAAAAACAGAAAGAACTGGGAAACGTATAAAGCTGCCCATGAATCCCCACAACCTGAAGGTGATTGATTAGTCCTCTCACATGTCTATTTGTAGCCATGAGAAATATCTCCCACGCCCAAATGTGTTACAGCTGGCTTGAAATGTGTTCACATAAACTGCTTGAAATTTTATATGCAGCCTTTAAATATTATATACTGCCTAAACTTAGAAAATTATTATGATTAATGCTATTATCTTTTTAAGAGATAGTATTTTTAATATGGATGATATGGTGCAAGGGAAGTACACTTTTATTTTTAAAATGAAATATTGTGATCAGAATGGCAGCCTCCTAAACCTAAGTAAGGACAGCTATATTGAGGTCATAGTGAGGATTATTGGTTGGGTCAATGTGATGTAAAACAGGTAAAAGACTGGAAAAAAATAAGCAATGAACATTTATGGAGTGTGCAGTGTATATAAAGTGCCATTTTAGGTGCTTTAGTCTACTTTATATTGTTTAATACATTAGAGCTTTTGAGTTTGTGCTGTAGTTTCTGTTGTACAGAAGAAGCATTAAGAATTTAAATTTGTTGAGAGGTTAGGATATGTATCCAATGTCAGACAGCTATTATGTGTTGAACATTTGTGGTCAGTTATAAAGAGATGAAACTGTGTATGTTAGATCTGCAAATGTTAGACTGTTGTTTAACATATCCCAAACACTGCTCTTTTTACTTTTCTTTTTACAGCCCTAGAATCAGCTGTTTTCCAAAGAGCCCTGATCTTTTTAGTAGGGAATGGTATTTGGAAGCCCAAATTCACAAATTGTGCCTTTGGTGTTGTATCTAAAGAGGACTTTCCATTCCCAAGGTCTTCCAGGTTTTCTCCTATATTATCTTCTGGGAGTTCTGCATTTTACATTTAGGTCATAGATTTATTTTGAGTTAATTTTCTTTAAAGGTATCAGATCTGTGTGTTGATTTATTGATTTATTTTTGCACATGGATGTTCCAGCATCATTTGTTGAAAAAACTATTTGTTCCATTGTATTGTCTTTGCTCCTTTGTCAAAAATCAGTTGTCTCTATTTATGTCTGTCTATTTCTGAGCTCTCTATTCTGTTCCCTTGTTCTATTTATCTGTTATTTTGCAAATGCCACCTTGTCTTGATTACTGTATCTTTATAGTAATCTTGAAGTTAGGTAGTGTCAGTTTTCTAACTTTGTTCTCCTTCAATATCCTGGCATATATTCTGGGTTTTGTTTGTTTGTTTTTGCCTCTCAATAGACTCTGTTGGTATCTACAGAATAACCTGTTGGGATTTTGATTGGATTGCATTGAATCTATAGATAAGTTGGGAAGAACTGACATCTTGTTAATATTGAATCTTCCTATCCATGAACATGGAATCTGTCTCAGGTATTTAGTTCTTCTTTGCTCTCATTCATCAGAGTTTCATATGTAGTTTTCTTTAAGTAGATCTTGTACATATTCTGATAGATTCGTACCTAAACATTTCATTTTGTGGGATGCTAATGTAAATGGTATTGTGTTTTTAACTTGTTCATTACTGATATATAACAAAATGATTGCCTTTTGTGTGTTAACCTTGCATCTTGCAAAAATGCTATAATTGCTTATGAGTGCCAGTTTTTTTTTGTCATTTTTTTCGGATTTTCGATGTAGATAACCAATGTTGACAAACAAAGACAGTTTTTTTTTCTTCCCAATCTGTATACTTTTAAATTCCTTTAATTGTTTTATTGCATTAATTAAAACTTCCAATAAAATGATGAAAGGAAGTGCGAGAGTGAATTTTGTTTCCTTAAACCTCATCTTAAGTGGGAAAGCGTCTAGTTCCTCACCTTTAATTATGATGTTAGTTGTAGATATTTGCTATCAAGTTGAAGAAGTCCTCTATTCCAAATTTTCTGAGAGTTCTTAGTATGAAAGGTGTTGGATTTTTCAAATGTTTTCTCCTGAACCTATTGATATGATCATGTGATTTTTCTTCTATAACCTTTTGATGTGATGGAATGCCTTGATTACTTTTTCAAAAGTTTAACCAGTCTCACATACTAGGGATAAACCCCTTTTCGTGGTGG